CTTTTTGTTATTATTCTTTTGTTATTATATTTGTTACAGTGACAGTGAAGATATCCTGATTCACAGGAATGACAGTTATGACCTCCCAGCTTTAGTTTCATTATCAGATAAAAGGTTGTTTGTGTAGATGCTAAACAACAACATCTGTGGCATGAAGCAACCATGTGACTGCTGGTCTCATATGAAGATATAATATTCATTCTTTCTGAAGGAAAACTGCTCGGATGCTTTTAATCAAATGTTATTTATTAAAGTCACATTACTCAGAGTGATTTCTGTAATTTCTCGAGACTTCAGATGAGAGAAAATGTGACAAAGACACGAGCACGTCTCCATCTACACCCTGCTTATAAAGAAATCTCATCTCTGTTATCTGATGTATTTTCTGTGTTTCTCTTGACGAGCAACATCTATGTTAATATTTCAGAATGAAGCGTAGTCACAGTTAATGATTCTGATGTTATGCATGTTAGATGGGATCCCTCGCTCTGTGCTCAAGGACTGGAGGAAAGTGAAGAAGCTGAAGCAGACGGGAGAGTCCTTCCTGCAGGATGATTCGTGTTCAGAAATTGGCCCCAACCTGCAGAAGTGTCGGGAGTGCAGGGTGGTCCGCAGCAAGAAAGGGGAGGAGCCCGCTCACTCGCCCGTCTTCTGTCGTTTCTACTATTTCAGACGGTAAAGCACTCACTCTGTGAGCGGTGATTCTCCTGCTTTATCTGTGCCACACCTGCTAAGATTTACCTGAAATGATCCGTCCAGGTCATGTTGATGTTGTTGTTTCCTCTGTGGTAATAAAGTCTTTGTTTGAAGCAGGCTGCCTGGGTGTTAGACGGTTTAACCCATCCTGGTTAACACGAGTCAGACTATTGAACTTTGTGTAACAAGTTAACAGTTGTTTGTGACATCAGGCCTCTTTGTGCTTCTGTTTGAGAGTAAAAGCTGCTTTAATGTGCGTGTGTCTGTTTCTGAAGTCTGGCACTTTAATGCTGGATTCAGAATAACGTCAGCTTGTGTTTAAAACTAGATGCGCTTTAAAAACACGTCACACTTTTGGTTTTTCTCAGCTATTTGATTAAGACTGTAAGGACAAAACACTTCTGAAATCAAAATGCAGTCGCTCATCACCCTGTTTGAACATTTTTATATTAGATGCGCTTCTTTCATCAGCCTACACGTGTGCACCACCTTACTGAGAGTGCCTTCATGCTTCTTCTCATCTAGGCTTTCCTACAGCAAGAATGGCGTCATCCGGATGGATGGCTTCTCCACTCCAGACCAGTTCGATGATGAGGCCCTCAGCCTGTGGGTCCCGGGGCCGATGGAGCAGAGCCACCTGGACCAAAGCACAGCCAAGTACATCCTGAGCTTCATAGGAGACAAGTTCTGTCAGATGGTTGCGACAGAGAACACTGCATCCAGCTGGATTAAGAAGGATGGTAAGTTTTCTCAAAAATAGCGTCAAAGTTTAGACGAACACGTCTCAGCGTGTTTTCCTCTGAACCTTTATCGTGTGTTTCA